GACACTATTGCTTGCACCACAACAGCTCCTTGCCTTGGTACAGATCCAACACTGGAGAAGAAGGAAGACATGGTGGACCACTGGCAAGGTCTGCTGAAGAACTCAGTAAAGCCGATCCTGAAAAAGCATTCTTTAATTGCATGGTGCCAGGGAGGAAAAGTAGCAGCATAGAGAGCAAAACGTGATGGCACCAATGTATACTTATCCAAAATGAAATGGATTATCCGAAAATTAAGGGAGGGTGTGACATTTTCACACATTGTCATAGTTGTCTGGCTCTCCTCAAGTAATAACAAGTTTTGACACGGTGTGCTCTTCTTCAGTCTGTGGAGCCTTATCTTTTATGATTACAAACCAAATGAGATTGTCAATCTTTTCTATGCCCTGTGACTGGTGGAAGGATATAACAAGAGCAATATTTTGGATTCTTGCAACTGTCTCTTAAATAGACGGTAATACTGAAATCTGTTCTGAATTTCATACCCCATCCCTCTTCAGACCTTACTTTCTCTCTTGATCCTTACCTGGAAAGATGGAGGAGGGAATGAGAAAGGGGAAAGGAAAAAACTATGATCTCTGGAACTAATGAAATCCCTCTTTGCATTATGTTTTCTTAAGTGATTGCTGTCTTTTGCCATCTAAATCATCTTCCATCACCTTCTATTTTATTAATTAGAATTTAACTAGTATTTTATAATTTTTAAACTTTCTTAACTACCTCAAAAAATCCCCCTTGATGTTATGGCAGGATGTAGTATTTTCTAGAGTAGTTTTTCAGCTCAGAGCTAATCCCAGATCTACAGTCAATTAAATTGTGTCTCTGTACACAAAATCTGATACAATTGGATATTCTGGCCTTCTCCCAAATTCAGTGAAAGCAATGCAACTTTGAACAGCCATCTTAATGGCTGCAGGAAAGGACGCTACTGGTTTTAGAACTCTTTCCTATGAGGATTTCCAAATGAAAGTTGTGTTAATTGTGACTCTTCTGCTGTGAATCTGGCATTAAGTCATAGCACAATAAGAAAAATTAAATTCACTTTCTTAACAACAGCACAGTCTAGAGACAGTCTATAGTTAAGCAAGACATAGTATTTTGATACGTGTTTCTCAAGTTCAGAATGTGTTCCTTTTTAAAGCTTGCTCACTTGGTGTGACAGTGTGCTTAAATAAAGACTGAAATATGAAGTCCAGTGTTTGCCATACTATAGTAATTCTCATAAAATATTGCTGACTGGCCATAAAATAGTTCATGTAAATAACAGGCTGAAGTGTATTATTTTGTGTTAAAGGAGAAAATAACTGATTCAATTAAATCAAAGAAATGTTAATTTCTTCTTAACTTTCTCATAGTATTTCCAGTATTCTCTACATTACCAATAGGAGCTATATGCACCACTTAAATTCTGGAGGAAATTATCTATTTGTCAGTAGAGCTGCATAGATAACTGAAGTCCATATTTTCTTCTCAGACCATAACTGTGACGCCTTAATTTATCACTCTGAGGAGCTGCTGTTTAATTAAAGTTGCATGTGAAGGATCTAAATCAGTGAATTTGTATCTCTGTTTTAGAATAAATATCTATTAACTGCCTGTAATATAGTTTACTGAACACCTAGTTTATCTTATTTACTACAGGAACATTTAATAAGCTCATAGTGGCATGTGTTAATTTTCTAAGTTTTCTACATGTGATAAAATTCACTGTAGTCTGTAAAGATTACATCTGTTCTAGTAAATCAAGGTTATAAAATAGCTTTTCATTTCTACAGTGAATGCTTTGTGAAGAAAAGCACATTAGATAAGAAGTTTTATCATGAAACCCTGATTGTTCAAGGCTTGGAGTAATTGCAGTTTCTGCTGGCATCAGCCAGGATTGTGAGAGTCCAGAATTTCTCAGAAATCAGCATCTAACACTATTTGAACCAGACAGTTACTTAGTTATTCCATGCTCTTGCCGGAAGAAAAGGGAGTTCTCTTTAAAAACAAACAAGCAACAAAACCACAAGCAAACAAACAAACAAACAAACAAAAAAAAAAAAAAAAAACAAACAAACAAAAAAAAAAACTTCAGCTTTGTTCTCATATGGGAAACTCCTTTTGAGATTTGACCTTAAGCAATAGTTCATAAAAAAAAATTGCATGTGAAAGCAATAGGAAGGTGAATTAACACTGGCTGTCTTCATCCTGAGTTCCTTGAATCTGATGTTTACATTACTCAGTATCAGCTAAAAAGAGATTATATGGTCCAGTGATAGAAGATTCTGAAGTTGTGCAAGACAGCCAGCAAGTCTTGTAACCATGCTGTGCACAGTCAATACTGCTGTTAAGCTGGCATTTCAAGAAAGAAAGGAAAATGAAGCACTGCATCAGAGAATTATAAATACATTAAAAGCTATATGCTGCCACCTCTGTGTTCTCAGCTATGTCACTGAAATTTCCTGTATAAAGCTGGGCTATAAAATAAAAATACTGTAACTGTATAGGTCAAGAAGAGGAATATAAACTGTGTCTTTAAACAAACCCACATGAACACTATAAAAATATTTAGAGTATAGGCTGGCTTCATCTATTACCACATTTTCTACCTCGATATACTTTCCTACAGCAGACATAGCCAGATTAATTGGTGCAGAATAATGCTTGACCACATCATGCATTCAAGAAAATGTTGCAGAACAAGAGTGCATCTCCAGGAGGGGTATAGTATCATTCAAATGCCATATAAAAGTAGGAATGTTTTTGTAGTGAGCCTTCAGTTATATCCATATTTTGTTATTGACTTGTATGTATAATTTAAATTAATTGCTTAAGTGTTAATGAAAATTAATTTAGTTTTTAAATTATCAAAGAATCCTACATGTTCAAACTTACTTCTCTACATAGTTTGTCTGCGAGCAGGGTTGGGATGTACACACAAACTTTGCATGTATCATTCAGCACTCTTAAGACTTTCTTTTGACTTAAGAGTCCATAGATGGTTATGTTGGTATTATAATGACAATGATTAAATTATATTCCAGAATAGTAAAACAAATTACAATTATGTTATCTAGCATATGTAATTCTTACAATAAATTGTATTTCAGTTTTTTGAGTAGACGATTGTATGAAATTGCTCACAGTGATTACTTGAAACACCGTAGGGTAAAATATTATTTAAATTAAGTTATTTATGTTCATTTTATTATTATTTTGAAGCATAGAGATGTTCAATACTATTTGATATCAAATTTAAAACCTGAAAAGCTTATCAAATGTGCTAACTCTACTACTATTTATACCTACCTGGACAAAAAACACATATTTATCACCTTTTGTTTCTCTCCACATATCGTATATATAACACAATACCATAAAAGACATCTTTTCTTGCATATTAGTATAGTTTCTGCCATGCAATGGGACATTGTCTTATGTGATGAAGTCTGTATTAGGGGAAAAAAAATGCTACTTAGTATTGACAGTTCCTTCTCCTTACAAAACGCATAATGTTTATATCTTTGTCTGTTTGTCAGACATGTTGTGTACTTTCTTTGTTTTATATTCCATGAAGGCCAAAATAATTAACTAGCAGAAAATAACATAGAGGAATTAAAACTCAGATAGCATATGCCTTCATTAGTCATTTCTGCTTGCAGAAATCAAATGGCAGAAACATACATTCCTCTTTCAGTCAAGATTGCCCCTTTGGGAGTGAGTCGAGCAGTTCATGTTAGAAGAGTCCTTTGTTCCCTTCACTTAGGGTATCGGAATAGTTCAGCATCAGAGATAAATCATCTACTGTTTGCCTTAATTTAATTTGGATTTCACTCCAGAGCAAGGTGCTCAGAATTGCTTGATAAGACAAATAAATAGAAGAACTTAAAATAGTTACAAATATTAATATCCTTATTGGCTCAAAAGGAAGCAATATAGCAGGTGTATGAAAAGAGTCTGGACTATTTTATTTACTCAGTAATCTGAAAAAGGCTGGAACTAAAGTTCAATCCAAAATTGTATTCAAGGACTGTCTCTTCCAGGCTGACAGTGCCTGACCCAAAACCCAAACACATTTCTAGGTTTAGGATTCAGTGTAATGGGCAGTGATGATCAACACCCCACTCATTGTCTTATGCTGTTTTGATTAATCCTTTTCTCATAAAGAAACCTTCCAGTTCTTATATGACCATCTATTCAGATAAATTGAGAGTAAACTGGCTCTTAGCCTTTGCTGCCAGCTTGTTGTTGTGCCTTTCCGTGCAATCACATCACATCAAAGTGATGTAGTTATTTGGGGTTTTTTTCTGAAGGGGTCATCATTGCTTAGATGTTGACAATCTGAAATTACTGAGTCACCACAAACAGACATTTAGATTTATTCCTCAAAGTGAAGTTAAGCTGAAAACACCATTAGCCATTGCTAAATAATAATTTTAAAATTAATAATCTAATCACAATACTCTATTTATATCCTAGCGATTCGGCTGTGTCCCCCAGCACCACCCTCTGTGCCTACACTTCATAAGAAGATTACGTTTCTCCCCATGAAGTGAAAATTACCTTCGTGTGGGGAGAAAGCGTTTAATTATGACTCTGCTTCCCCTTGTCTCCATGGTGATCCCATGCAAACAGCCTGCTTTATTAGACCTCCTTTCCCCCCACCCCACCGAAGTGATAAATTAGCCCTGTGTGGACCCGAGTCGCAGCGTTAACCCCTGCCACGCCGGAGCGCTGCGCCCAGGGCCGGCGGAGCCCATCGCCTGCCCACGGGCGGCCCCGGGACCCGCCGCTGCCCGGCGGCGCTCGGCGGAGAAACGCTGCGATGGCAAAACCGCGGGAAGAGCTCCGCCGTAATCCTATATGGAGCTAAGCCGCCGCATCATTTCAGCACTTACTACAGAAAATATGTTCCCAGTTCCCTGCCCGGCCGGAGCTACTAGGCGGGCTACAAATGGGCGGCTGCTGCCGGCGCGCCCCTGCCCGCCCCCAGCGCTGCCGGGGCCAGCGGGGCCGTTACCTGGGTGCTCCCCGGCGCCGGGGCCCGCGGGGTCGGTGAGGATGCTGGGGTCACTCTGCGACCTGCCTCGCGGGAGAAAGCAGCCGGTCCCTTCTTCCGATGCAGCCATGAGGTGGAGGGCGGGAAGCTCAGAGGCGGGGGAAGGAGGAGGCGCTCATGGAGCCGGAGGCGGCCGGGGGGGGACAATGGGGACGGGGGTGCGGCGGCGGCGGGGCGTCAGCCGGGCAAACCCAGCCGCGGCAGCATCTTCCCCGGCTCCGCCGGCACCGGGCACTCAGGGGGCAGCTCCGGGCGCCTCAGGGGGGTGGGCCATGCTGCCTGGCGGGGTGGAGAAGAGCCGGGGCGCGGGCCGCCGGCCCGGCCCCCCGCCGCCGCCGCCTCCCCCCCTCGAGACGCCCCCTCCCGGGACGCCCCCCCCCACCCCGAGCGTCGCTCCCGGAGTCGCCTCAAGCCGCCGCGCTGCTGAGCGCATCCGTTGGAAAACATTGGGATTCTCCCATGGTGCCCCGCGAGCGGCTCCGTGACGTCACGGCGGGGGGGGGGGGCGGGCACTGCACCTGCACTGCACAAAGGCGGGGGCCCCCGCAGGTGCGGGCGGATTCGGGGTTCCGCCCCGACCAGGAGAGTGGGGTCGCCCCGCCGGTCCGTGTCCGTGTCCGTGTCCCCGTCCCCCCCACGCTCCATCCCTCGCAGCACTCGGGGCGCTTCGCGCAGCGGGAGGAAGCGGCGCGACCCGGGGGCCGCCCCGGAGGGTGTCCAGGCCGTGTGTGTGTGTGTGTGTGTGTGTGTTTTTCCCCTCGCATCAGAAAGTGCCGGTTCCTCCCCGGAGGGACGTGGGGGGGTGGCGGCTGTCCGCTCCGCTCCGCGCCCCGCTGGGGCAGCCGCGCAGGTCTGCGGGAGCTTCCGCGGAGCCGGTGGGGCGCGGTGGGACGCGCCCTGTGCCGCCCGTCAGGCTGCGGGTAACCTCGTGGGAAAGGAGCCATCTCACGGTGCGCCCGGGGAAATAGGGTGTTTCGACTCAGGTTATAGAGTTCGGTTTGGGAATTTGTTTAAAGGAAATAACATTTTTTATGGAATTTTTCCTTAAATGAAAGGTGGCTCCTCCCCATCTCACAGTGTGTGCCAGCAGAGGGGCTGCTTGGGTGTACCCAGGGCTCCGGGTAGTACCTGCTTGGGGTGTTGACCTCTGAAAAACGGGGACGCTTTTTAATCACTCTTCCAGTAAAGTCCAATACCGTGCTCAGTCAGTGCTTGTTAAGACGTTAAGATCATCCTCTCATTTATTATAGCGGAGTGCTGTTGAGCGTGCATTAAACTCTGTCTTTGTATGGAACTAGCATTAAGGAATGTATACCTACAAGCATATTTTTTAGAGTGACTCAGGAGCAATGGTTATTCATGAAGCTAACTGAGTTCCTATCATAAGACAGGTATAAATTTGCCAGATTTTAGGGATGAAACTTTGTGTCAGAAAATTTTCCATTAATGCGGTCATTTATTCATGTACATATTTGTTTTTACAGAAATATATGGGAAACACTTTTTATATTTTATATAAAGCATGTTCAGCCATTTCTGAAATAAGGGAAAAACCAAGCAGTTCTATGGGGTTGTGTCTTTTTTGTATTTTGGGGGGTTCATCACATCTATCACACTGAGAAGTGTATTTGCCTTCTTTAAGCAGGAGTTTCAAAGTTAACCACCTGCACACATTTGGGAATCACCTTTGGGCTATGTAGTCCCTGAGGTTCGGTCAGTTTTGTGGCTTTTTTAAAAAAAAAAAAAAAAAGGTCTGTGGGCCTGCATTTCATGTAGAGCTTGATAGAAAAATTCTTGAAAGACTATTTGAACAAGGCCTGTGTGTGGCTGTTCTGGTAATGTCTGCCCATGGCTGGGGTAAACTGCTACATCTAACTGAGTCTGAATATTGTCATGAGAACAGAAATCGAACAAATGGTTTAAAGCAATATATAAAATAGTTTCTCATTCAATGAGTACTATCCCTTCTTGCTGAGTATAAGGTGGATCCCAAGGAAAAAGTAGCATGTGGTAGTGTAATCTAAGAGGTGTCATAATGCAATGGAATAAATTAAGGTAGCAAGGGCATTCTTCAAGGTTTTTTTTTTTGAGAGTTTAACATTGCTGTGTTGACACATTTTCAGTGTCAGTTTTTATAACTTCTTCTAAGCCTTGCCAGTCAAACAGCTTATCATAATTCCAAAAAGACAGCTAAATTAACCATTTTTATCATGCTATAAAACATTTCCACAGAAACAAACAAGCAAATCCAAAATACTTGTTTAAGGGATGCTTCAAAGAGATCAGGATTTATTTTGTACTCCTTTCCCCCTCAAGCCAAGCTCTTGAGTTGCCATGACTCAACTCTGAAAGGGAGTCATGAACTCTACAAATTATTTATGATAGGGGTTTTTTTCTGTGAATACAGATAGCACCATCTGACATAGGTACTGGGTTCAGTTTTCAAGTAAGAAATCGCCTCTTTATAATGGAATAATATGCCAAACCTATTTTTAGTCCTAAAAAATAGAGGAAGTAGCAAGTTTTAAATGGTATTTCTCTATATAGGTTTTGGATTATGGTAGAAAATCCTCATGGTTTCTAGTGAATTCTTTGAAAATCTGTTGATACTAATTGATATACCTGCCTTCTGCAATGAAGAATGATACTGGTTTCTTGTATAAAATACATAGCTGAAAAGTTCCATATCAGATTTAATCATTTGTACAAGAATGGATATATTAAAATATTTTCAGTCTAAGACAGCTTTAATACCCTACAGAAGCACACAAGATGAGACTCACGTATTTTTAACCAACTCACATACTGATTGCCTCTGTAGAGGACACTTTATAGGGTTCCTTTGAATCCTAAAATATTGTCTGATAGAAATCAATCAAACAAGATGGGAATCTGCCTTGCTGTTTTAACTTAGTTAAAACATTTCATTTTCTCTCATTCCTGCCAAACTAAACATCAAGAGACTGTCTGGGAATAAATCCCAAGTGCTGTACATGCCAGCTGATGGAGCTACCCCTAGGCCACCTCACCATTTCCAAATCGTCATGTTTGGGGGAGGGAGTAGAAGAAAAAAATAGTTATGTTAAATTGTTTAAACCTATGCTGCTAAATAATGTCTCTTGTGTAAAAAAATACTATTAGCTGCATGTCTCTTACCTCAAAGTTTCGTATATAATGATGATGACGTACGTATTTTCACTTTCCATTTCCTTACCTTAAAGCAGGCTCTGAATTCCTTCTGAGGGCAAAGCTTTTGACAGGAAAAATAAATGTGAGGCAAAGTCTCTTCTCCATGTTGAAGGACCGATGCCAAAAGGAATGAAGCATTTTCACAGAAGTAAATAGAATTTGATGGAGGCAAGCACTAACCAATATATTTTAAGTATACTGATTTGTAAATCCCTCTGAAATTGGAATGAAACTAAGCCTGGTTCTAGCTGTGGGTACTAAGCACCTGAAAAATTGTCCTTAAGTTCCCTTTTACTACTTGATATAATTCTATAAATGTCACAAACAAAAATATTTGATGGATCAGAATAACTATTAGTAGAAACATGGTTCTCCTTTTATTTGGTTTATTTTCTCACTATAGCAGTCTTGTGGTAAACAAGTTTGCAACATTTCCCAGAAAGTACAATGGTCTGATATGTTTTATTTCTCTGTCAGAGGATTTCTAGCCTTTGATATTTATGATGAAAAGTTATGATGAGATTTTTCTAGCTTAGTGGCAGATATTTCTGCTGTTGGCATCCATTCACTTGCAGAAACATACTTCTTAAAATTAAATATCCACACAAGAAACACAAAAGAGAAAATAAAATTTATTTAGCTTGATGCATATTCCACACCCAAACCAACACATGTCCATTTGATATGACTTTCTTTGCTAAAAAATTTTAAAATGCAATAATATAAATGGTATGTATGGTCTGATTAATTTGCTTTCAGTTTGATAGCTGAGCGCCTGTTTAATGATCTAGTTCTATAAAGAGAAATCCTAACTTGTGTTAGGAATGACTGAATCTCTGAGGAGAAAGAAAAGAGGTGAGTCATGTCAGTGCTGTTTTTCTCAAATCAGCAGAATATTAAACAACCTCATTTTCATTAATCTGAAGCCTACGTGTGATCTCTGAGCATAACACTGATCTTAGATCTCTGATTTAGAAAAATGAGTTCAGGACACATTTGGATTGACAATACCAGCTTTCATGTTAAAATTGTTTTGATGACCAAGAGACAAACAGCCTTGCTCAGAGCAGTTTTCTTAGATGCAGAAACAGAGAGCATTTGTTCTGTTGCTTGTGAGTCTTAACCTAGTTTTTTTTTTAGATTTTATGCCAGCTTGTTGTAGTTCCATATGCTAACTGTAACAATAAGGACGAGCATTCCCATGCTCAAAAGGCTCTCATCTCTATTTACTTTGTGTTTGTGGGTTTTTTTCCCCTCAGATGCTTTCTTGGTAAAGAGGACGTAGGGCCTATTTTGAATCTTTATTTGTCAAGAAGATAAATGCATGTCACTGAGAAGAGATACAAGTATCATCCAGCAGTCACAACTTTAAGTACAAAGGCTTGAAAGATGTCTTCTTCTCCAAGGCATGATGATGTAGTTGCTACTATGGAAGACAAATAAAAAATGAATAAGTATCAGGGACTTGTTTATTGGCGGCTTCATATACACATTCACATTTAACATCTCTGGTACTCAAGAGCTATTCTAGGAATCACCCGTCTGATTTGCATGTTTGCTTTCTCTCACAGCTCTAGTGCTTGCTATGTCATTTTGTAAGTGAAGGAACAGGAGAGGAAGAGACAGGGAAAAATGTTGAGGCAGACAGTCAGCTCAGCTGCCAGCCTTCTTGACAAACAGCTCTACTCACATAAGTCCTTCTAGGTAGCAGTGCAGTGACAATGAGGAGGGGAACATCTACTCTTACGTCAGTTATTCCAAATTACTCAGATTATAACAGTAACAGCAGTGTATCTGTTTATGGGGAGGGAACTCGTATCTGTGACATGCCAAGGCCAACAGAGACTTACAGGGATGTGATTACTGTGCATAGTAATTGTGCGTAAGAAGTGAGGAAAAGGCAGCTATGTGTGGCAGCCAGTGGATTCCTGCAGTGCTGTCAAAGCCAGCCAGGCTAGAGGTGATGTGCCATGTAAGTATTGTTTGTGCCAGTCTGAACTCTGAAGGGATTAATCTGATTTTTCTCTCCAATTTTTGTTCTCCTTAGACCTCAATATGTCTGAGGAAAAGGGGTGCATATACAACTTCCATAGCAGGTCCAAATCTTCCTCCTTTCTGCATTGCCTTTTGGGGAATTAAATTCTTGTATACAGATCTTTCTCTTTTATACAGGCACAGAGTTCTTCAGAAGGCATGTGGCTGGAAGTTCCTTACTATTCTCACTTTCATCCTCTGAGTATTCCATGGTCTCAGATATCCAAAA